AGTTGCATAGTCTTCGGTTTTGTAACGTGCAGTGGCTTCGTTCCAGGATTCCGGGTTTCGAACAACGGACCTAGCTCTCAGCCAATCGTGCGCCTGCGGTACCTTCCCACGAAACAAGTCCCGATCACTTAGATTGTAGGGCAGCAGTTCTTGCACAGGCTTGTCAGGCTGGAGAAACAGGTTCTGTGCAACTTTGTGAACGGTCTGCTTGCTTGGAGTGCTGGACAATGCAGCAGCTCTGCATCGCTTTCCTGGAAGCACTGCAATTGACGCACAACCCCTTGCTCTCCCGTGGAATCTCACTGGCAAGGCAGGAGCTCACCTCTCACCTAAACCCTAAACCCCCGAAGCCCCTTACAGCAATTCACCCCTTCAGAACTCCATTGGCCTTAGAAGGCAAGCAAAACCAATACTTCTCCGAGATCCGGAACCAACAAACAAAGCAAAATCCAAACCCGAAAAAAAGATAATCCTACAACGCAAAAACTAAAGCCCTAAACCCTCGACCCTAAAGAAAACCCTAAACCCGAAACCCGAAACTAAACCTTAAGCCCTAAACGCGCTAAACCTTGAACCAAACCCTCAGCCCTAAACCCTAAACTCTAAACTAATCCCTCAACCCTACACCCTAAACTATAAATTAATCCCTCAAACCCACAACCCGAAAGACTCTAAACTAAACCCTCAACCCTGAACCCTAATAACCCTAAAGCCGCAAACTTTACGCCTAAACTCTGAGCTAAACCCTCAACCCTAAACCCTAAAAACCCCAAAGCCGCAAACTCTAAGCCTAGACTCTAAACTAAACCCTCAACCCTAAACCCTAAAGCCGCAAACTCTAAGCCGCCCCCCGCCTTGTGCGAGGCTCGCCAGAGCTTTGGCCCCCAGCTCTTGGGGCAGACCGTAGGACTAGCGAAGCTTTCCCAGAGGCTCCAAAACCCGTTAAGGAATATACCTTGAATCATTTTAGGGTCCCCTTAGTTGCTGAGTTCATAAGCCCCAAAAAGTGTACACTTTCAGTTTTACAGTGGGTAGTATTATCCCAAAAGTGTATCCACTCAGCTACTACGTTCCTAATATAATTTAAGGTGTACTCCTTAATGAAGGGGTTTTGGATCTTCTGGGTTCGGGTTTAGTAGGGCTTTAGGGTTTTGGGGCTGTAGGGTTTTAGGGATCAAGGGTTTAGGAGTTTAGGTTTAGGGTCTAGGGCGGGTTTTAGGGATTCGGGGTTTAGGCGTTCAGGCTTGAGGGTTTAGGGCTTCTTTAGGGTTTTAGGGCTTAGGGTTTCTTTAGGGTTTCAGGATTTGGGGTTTAGGGCTTATTGAAGGTTTCAGGGTTTGCTAATTATGGGGTTTACGCTTTTCCCAGAGACTCCAAAACCTTTTTATCAAGGAATGAATATATACCTTAAGCGATGTCAAGGTCCCTATTCTGGTGAATTCAAGCATATGTTTAAGGAGTTTTGGAGTGGTTCCTGTAGGGGTTCCGAGCAAGGTTCGATGAGGGTTTAGGGTTTGGGGCTTGGGGTTTTAGGGCTTGGGAGGCCTTAGCAGTTGGAGATAAGGCTTTAGGATTTGGAAAAAAGGCTTTAGGGCTGTAGGAGTTGGAGATAGAAGTTCTGTGCTGTTTTGGTGCGTTGGGGCTGCGGGTCTGGAGCCGTGTGTGCGTGTGTGTCCGTCTTTTCTTGTTTTCCAACATCTATATACCTCTTGCAATGCCCTCCGAAACCTGGCAAAAACCTACAATAAACACGATAAAGAAATTCAAACTGATACAACCGATTCATCCAAGGAAAATCCGTAAGACCCAAGCTTCGAAGAACCCCACGATTGCTTGAGCGTAGCCAAGTCGGTGGTGGAGGTGGCATCATACACAGCGGAAGCGAAAACCTTGAATCCTAAGGCCTAAACTCTAACCTCCAAACTCTAAACCCACATATGGGAGTTTCCGAAATAGAGGACCCCAATATAAATAGTAGGACCCCTGTTATAAGGACCCAAAATAAGGTACCCCTAATTTCGGAAACTCTAAACCCCAAAACTCTTGTAGAGCCCTTTACAGGAACACTTATAGTACCCTTATAGCAACCCTTTAAAGGAACCCTTACGTACCAAATATTTTCGAAGCACAAGGCCCTCAAGACCCCCTGAAGCTGCAGGCCTGTGGATCGTTCAGGCGCAGCAAGGCCTCCCGAAGGTCCTGCACCTGAGAAGCCCAGGATTTGGGTTAGGGTTTGAGGTTTGGGGTTTAGGGTTTAGGGATAAGGGCTTAGGGTGGAGGGTTTAGGGTTCGGGATTTAGGGTTTCGGGGTTTAGGGTTTAGGGCGTAGGGTTCAGGGTTTAGGGATTTAGGGTTTCGGGGTTTAGGGTTTAAAGTTTAGGTTTTGCCTGCACGTAGTTCTTCATATCATTCTCGAGCACCCGGATATAATCCGCTTGCTTTTTGTCGTTCACCTGCAAGTCCCCAACCTGCCTCTTCAAACCGGCCACGGCCGCCTCAGCCCTCTGCTTCTCTGCCAGCTTATCTTTCTCCAACGCCAGCTTATCTTTCTCCAAGTCTGCCACCTTGCGCTCTGCTGCGACTTTTTGCTTTTCCATGTCGTCGAGGGCAGCCTTGCCCTCAAGTTTGGCAAGTCGCAATGAGTCAGCATGTCGTTGCTTGAGGTCTTCCACTTGCCGGTCGAACTGGCGCCTCATCAAGCGTTTCTCTTCCTGCACAGTGGCCCCCCCCTTTCATCTGACGGAAGTGCCCGGCTGCGCCACTGGAGGATGCTGAAATGGCCTCTGCCATCATGTCGGACCCTGTGAGTCCCCCAGTCGTGTTGAACTTTGCCGTAGTGCGTGGGCGACAGCATCTTACGACAGGGCTGTGTCGAGCGCACCGTACTACCATGAGCTGTGGAAGCCTGTGTACTATTGTCTACACTTCTATATGAAGCTTTACTTCTCTCTCTCTCCTTGGGGTGGCCGTTAAAGCAAGACACTGCCAAACACGTGTAGAGGCTGCGGGGCCAGGGTAGTTGGAGGGTCGGGGACTTGGTAAGTAGATATTTTCTGGACTTATAAGTACCATAACCCCATTTAGGATCCCTTTTAAGGGACTTAACAGCTTATTACTTCCTTTCTTTGCGAAGTCTCCCGACCCTCCAAGTAGAGCAGGGCTTGCTCTTGCCTGGGCCCTCCTGGCGCCCCAAAAGAAACGGTTTCGGGTTTAGGGTTCATTGATTCGGGTTTGGGGTTTAGGGTTTAGGGTGGTCCCCGGCCCCGGGGAGGCAACCTTCCATACCTGTGGGCGACGGCCTCAAGCGCCGCCGCCCACGTACGGCACGTGGGCAAACACGTATACGAAAGAAAAACACCAAATCGATTTGCAGAAGGGAGACGAAAATAAATTAAATTCTCTCTATTCACATAAAGATTGACTTTGTTGGAGCGAAAGCAAGAGAAAGCTTGTTGAGATTTCCATGCAACTGGATGAACGAGATGCGCCAACTCCGGTGGAAGAAACGATAAACACACCACGGAAATCGGCAACAACCCACTAAACATGCTCACGGATCCTAAACCCTAAGCACTAAACTCTTAAACACCTTCATGCCCTAAACCCTAAGCACTAATGTAGGGGCCTTAATAATTAAAATATGGTTTTCGGGTATACAATACTATAACTAAGACAAGGAACCCCAAAATAGTAGAGTTAATCCCTTCAAAGGAACGCCTAAAATAGTACTGGTAATTATTGAGGCCCCTTTAGTCGACACTCTTCTCCAAGACTCCGGCCGTCGTCAGGCTCAGTCTGGGAACGAGGTCGTCGCCAAGAACGACACCTCGGGGAAGACTGGCGCCTTAGCCTTGGGAGCTAAGGGCTCTATTTATAGCTAGGCTGCTCAGTAACCCACTGGGAAAAGTATATACTTTTTTAGGCTTCTTATTTATAATAAAAACCCCGAAACCTGAAAGTAAAAAAGTGTACCACTCAACAGCCTGGATAGGGTTTAGGGTTTAGGGCTTAGGGGGTTAGGCTTTGGGGTTTAGGGTTCAGGGTTTAGGGTTTAGGGTTTAGGGGTTTCATAAAGGGGGTTTGTTATGTGCTATCATTTTCCTTCTTAAAGGGGTTGGTACATCCTTTTTTGTTTGGTGTATGTTCAGGTAGCCAGGTAGAACCGTTGAGAGCCAGTCAGTACAACACCGCGAATACCTAAACTTCAAGCCCTACACCCTAAATCCCGCACGCAAAACAATGCACCTTAATCCTAAAACCCTGAACCAAGAAGACATTTAGGTTTTAAGGGTTCTACGTTTTGGGATGATACCGCCCAGAAAGCTGGCCCAGTGAGAACATAAAAATCACAGGCGCAGCGTTCCCGAAAACGGAAACCCAACATTCGTAAACACTAAACCTTAAAATCGGTTCTAGGAGCTTTAATATCTACTTCGAGGGTCGGGGGACTTAGTAACTGGCTATTTTAGGGACTTATAAGTGCCATAACCCCAATTAGGTACCCTTTTAGGGTACTTATAACTGTACTTATAACTCTACTCACTACCTACTGACTAAGTCCCTGAACCCTAAACCCTAAACCCTATAATACCCCCATAGAGCCCTTTAAAGGAACCCTTACTAAGTCCCCCGTAAAGCAACCCTTGAAGGCAAGCTGCTCGTTATAACTACCCATGAACCTCTAAGTAAAGCCCTAAACCCTATACCCTTATAGAATCCCTGTAGACCCCTTTAAAGGGGCCCTTAAAGGAACCCTTAGAACTACCCATGAACCTCCAAGCAGAGAGCCCAGTACCCCTTAATTCAGGAATATACCTTGGATTATAGGGTCCTTCACTTTCTGGTTCAAGGGAAATTCCCGAATTAAGGAATATACCTTCATTAAGATGGGCCCGAATATTATGGTTCAAGCTCTACTTTGGAGGGTCGGGGGGACTTAGTACTTTAGGGACTTATAAGTGCCTAAGTCCCCCGTAAAGCAACCCTTGAAGGCAGGCTGCTCGTGGTGAAGTTGGAGAGAGCCACTGCGTGGCTCGCATCCAGGACCTCCCGGCTCGCAGGGAGGGTTCCTACAAGGTTTCAGGGTTTGAGGGGTTTAGGGTTTAGGGGTTTAGGTTTCAGGGTTTAGGGGTTTAGATTTTAGGGTTTTAGAGTTTAGGGTTTAGGGTTTAGGGGTTTAGGGTTCATAGGGTTTAGGGTTTAGGGTTTGCAGGCTGAGGGTTCTAGGGCTTAGGGTTATAGGGTTTAGGGAGGGTTCCTGCAAGGTTTTTTTAGGGTCTCGGGACTAGGGCTTGAGGGCTACAGGTCAAGAAGCTGAATGCCTCGAAAGGTACCTTTTGTGGGCTTCCTTTAAGGGGCAACTGTAAGGTTCCCTTTAAGGGCAGGGTTCCTTCAAGGGTTTAGTTGGGCGTCTGCGCAGGCCTCTAGAATTATTCAGCTTTCTGAGTGCGAGTCTTTAGGCTTGCTAAATCCTAGGACTATGATAAACCCTTAACCCTAAACCCTAAACCCTAAACCCATAACCCGAAACCCCAGTCAGTGCAAGTCTTTAGGTTAGCTGAATCCTAGGACTAGGAGGATCCTTCAGTGTTTAGGGTTTAGGGCTTAGGGTGTAGGGCTTAGGGTTTAGGGTTTAGGGATTAGGGGTTTAAGATTTAGGGTTTAGGATTTAGGGTTTAGGGTCTATAAGGGTTACTTTCAGGGATCTAGAAGGGTACTAGAAAAAGGTAGGAACCTGATTAAGAAACCTTGGGCCTTTATTCGCCTCGGCCCCGGCCGAAGCGGTCAGAGGTTCCTATTCGGATTCCCTCTATTCCCCACCTCTTAATCCCCTTTTCAGTGACCCCACACCAAAGGAAACGTGTCACTGAGCTCCATCCACCCCCCCCCCCCCCCCCCCCCCCCCCCCCCCCCCCCCCCCCCCCCCCCCCCCCCCCCCCCCCCCCCCCCCCCCCCCCCCCTTCCCTACCGCCCCTCCTCGTGCAGCTTTCTGGAGTTTTCGACGACACGGGACTGCAATGTAGCATCTTTATGTGTTGGGGCTCACCTTTAAGGCTGCACCACCGGCTCCGGTGGCGCCCAGCGGCCATGCATGGCTGCCGTCTCTATTTCTTGCAAGGCCTTAATGACTTCAATATACTCTCACTCTATCAAAAAACCCAGCAAAGTCTTAATCATTGTTTGGGCCCCTATGTTGGTATCGAATTGATGGCTTTGCGTCTCAGGCTTGTTTTAGACGCCCTTTCGTTGGGATAGGCGGAGTAACGTGGTTGAAAAGGCTGTGATGCTTCCCTAATCCAAGACGCCCACGAAATCCACAGCCTCAACGGCCCATACTTAAGGCATCCCGCCGCTTGCGAGAGTCTTGGTATCCAGTGTTTCGGAATGACGACACCAAAATTCGTACTGATACTACCACTACTAATACTACTCACAATCATCCTGCTTCGTGTTGCTATGAACATTACTTTTACTATAAGTGCGATTCCAACTGTTACTTTTTTCCTACAAGAGCTTGCTGCAGATAGTAGCCACTCGCCGCATGCGCGTACAGCCGCGCCGAGGCGGACGACGCGCAGCGTTTCAAATTAGGGTTCCTTTAAAGGGGTCTATAAGGGTTACGATAAGGGATGAATAAGGGTACTATAATGATAGTAGGAACCCAGGGGTATTGGGCTCTCTGGGTCGCAGGCCCCACCTGTGGACAGCCAAAAGTGACGCAGCGCATGCTGCATCCAACCGGCAATGCTGCTGCATCCTCGGACGCCGAGGACTCGAGATTTAAGGTTTGGCGCCTGGTCTTTGGGGTCACGGTTGGGGGTGTGGGGGTGCACGCTTTGGGGGTTTAGGTTTCCACGGTTTAGGGGCTTAAGGGTTTAGTGGGTTTAGTGTTGAGGGTTTCGGGTTTAGGGTTCTGGGATTCCCTGGTTTAATCAAGGGAGAAAGCCTCCTTGTAAACAGTTCTTGAAAAGTTTCCAAAATGAAGGCTTCAAGGCTTGATATAGGCATGACTAGAATGCGGTCTTGGGGGTACGTATGTACTACGAGTATAATAAAGAACTTTAAGGGGTAACATTACTAACTATTGAAGCTTCCGTAAATATTGTCAGCTCATGAGGTCACAGGAAAGGTTGGGGCTTGGGGGTTAAAGATTATAACATAGAAGCCTTCATAATTAGCAATAATATTTTGGGGGCTCTGAACTATAAAATAGAATATGCTACACCACACAATCCTATTTTAATTATTAAGGCGCTGATAGTATTGATTCCGCCCAGCCCAAACGTCCCCAGACTTCTCAGCGTATCTCGGGCCCAATAACCCCTAGTTGAAGAACGCATGTTAAAAACTTTAATGGCCGAAACATTCTTATTCGTTCTTATTCAAGACATGTCTCTGAATAAAGGGTCTATGCGGCTCCTTGACCCTCAGTTCGGAGTATCTGAAAACTCGGGGCTGTCTGTTTTCAAGGAACCAGCCTGAAACCCGAAGCCCTCAACCGTAAACACGGAAACCCACGGCAATGAATAGCTGGGGTACTTGTCTGGCTAGGAGGGGCCTTTGGACCCAAACAATTCGACACCAAGCTGCTCGCCACAAGGCCGCAAGAAGGGCAGCAACTCCGCCCCCAAGCGAGTGGCCTCGCAGGTGCCGGTTCAGACCAAAGCTTGTCTGTCTGGGTTTACAGTGTGGGTTTCCTAAACCGCATTTGCAGCTCTATGAGCATAGCTCTATGAGCATAGCTCCCAAGGAGGAACTGTGCTAAGCCTTATCCGTACCAACGAACCAAGACCCTGAAACTTGCAACATTGCTGATGGGACTTAAGCAGCACAATTTAGGGGGAGTACTCAGCTTTGCCCTAGACCCTGAACTAAGAACAAATGGGGATGCTACTTGGAGCAAGGTTCTTTGGGTGGGTATAGGTATATAATGCGAAGCTAAAAAGGTACTAGACTTTCACCACAAACTATTCCAACCCTATTAGACTACAGTCCGCTACAAATCGATAGAGGTTAGGATGACTAACTTTTAGACTAAATAGTGAAGTGACGTGCCCGTTCTCCTCCCTCCATCCAGTGCCTGTGACGAGTACGTCGGTGCCAAATGTGGACGTCGACCGCCCCTGGCACCAAGGCCCCGTAAGCAGCAAGCTCTGAGAATTACATACTGCTAGCGGTCTTAAAATCCCGGAATACGGTTTTTGGTTACAGTAGTACGATACCAGGACCAAAACGGCATTGTATTTACCCAATGTCAGACTCCTGTATTCTAAAGGAGTTTAACAGCCTGGAATTTGCAGCCTGGGGTGTGTGAAAGCCCTCCAAGCCCCAAACTCCCGAAGCCCTCCTTGAGGGTTTAGGGCTTAGGGTTTAGGGGCTTCGGGTTGAGGATTCTGCTTACTTGAATTGAAGGATCTTGGGACTGAGCTAGTGCTGTGAACACGATAAATATAGTCATGAACACTTATATATCTATACTGAACTTAGAACCCTAGCAAAAATTATGATTTTAGCTGCTTCTTAGGGATTATAATAACAAAAGATTAAAAATTATTTCTAAGTATCCCTAAGTTATATCCGATCCTCTATTAAGGTACTCATAACCCTGAACCCTAGACCCTACCTGCTTCCTCAAACGGGATATCGGAGTCCGCGCCATTCGCAACGGGGCTCTACATGCGGTCTTCGGAACGGGTTTTATGAGGATGCTTACTTTCAGCATTTTACAGTGGTCCATACTAAAACCATCTGTTTACAGGAAAAGCAAACAAGGGCTTCATTGAGTTCTATCTGGGGTTGCTTTTGGGTCTGTGAAACGGATCCCATTTTGAACTTCGTCCCGCTCTTCGCGGTCGCTTATTGAACTTGGTGCCAAATTTTTCGAACCTCAACCCTAAGCACGGGTCGTGTCTCGAGACTTGGCATGGACTTCGCCTGTGCCGACACCTGATCCAGTGGACCATTAAGCCCTCGGCTGCACCCCCGTACAGAAGGGCGTCCATAGAACACTCAGGCACTGATTGCACATCAGGGATGTAGCGGAGCTGCGGCTACATGCAATATAGCGGAAAGTACAACGCAAATTCAGTCCGAGCGCATCGCACGCTGCTTGTACGTTCTTCCTCCAGCTGCGCGGCCTCGAACGGCACCGTTTCGACGGTTGAGGCTATTTAGGCGACGGGTCCGGAGTTGTAGCTACTTTGCGGTGGAGACCACAGCCCGCCGGAAGCACTTGTAGCACACGAGTGCGCCCTGTCAGGATGAGCCTTGATGTCCCTCTCCACATGTCAAATCCTCCTGAATCAGCTCAATGCATGGTCTTCTCCAGCACACGTAAGTTCTGCATCCCCCTTAGAACCATAATACAACCCATATGTTTGATAGTCTCTTGCGTTTTATATGAACAAAAACAAAACTACTTCCAAGGAGACTATAGAGTTCAGGGACTCGGGCTTGGGTTCGGAGTTTAGGGTTTCGAACAGCCTTACCTTGTTTCATCCTTGCATCGTGGCCCTATACCCTAAACACAAGGCCCGAAGCACTAACTCCTAGACCCTGAACCTCAAACCCTGAGTTCAGTTTCCCTCTCAACTTGCCTGAGCCCGCTCAGCAGCCAGCAGGGACAAGCCTGCCCCGGGGTTTGCTTCAGGGGTAAAACTTGCTTCGAATAGTATTTAAGGCTCCATACATTAGAGAGGCTTGAACGGTTGGAATCTAGTCGATTGGGGTCCGTTTCAGGTATATAAGCACATCAAGGGAGTCATGCTGCTGATTACCCGAGCCCCAACATTCGAGCGTGGGTTTGGGTTTTTGGACATGGCCGTTCTCTACGCTGAAGACTTAAACTCTGGAGCTTCATATGGTTGAGGGTTTAGGGCCGTTTAGGGTTTAGGGGTTCGGGTTTCGGGTTTTTATTTAGGGCCAGAAGCTCGAAACCTGAGATTTTGCTTTCCTGCCAGTCCTGCCTTCAGATGTTAAGATTTGGAGGCTTGCGACCAAGCATAGAACCCCGGTACTTGGAGGGTCGGGGGACTTAGTAACTGTTTTCGGGACTTAAAAGTGCCATAACCCCAATAAGTCCCCCGACCCTCCAAGTATGAGGGTAGAGGTCATCTTTCTGCCCGTGGCATTTCCAGCAATAAAGGCAGTTGACGGTCGGTTCTGCGAATTGCCGCGGGGGGGCCTAGATAAAAATGCAGAACCGCAAGGTTATATGCACTCTGTGAACCCATCCTCCAACCAAAGCCAAGTGACGACACTACATGCTTGAAGAACTACGGTTGATAATATAGATGCTGCTTTACCCTAATGACCCTAAGCTATGTGAATTATGGTATATTCCTTGATAGGGTAATGCAGGATTTATATCATCAACCGTAGTAACAATCTCCTGGATAATAGCTCCGCTGCCTCCTTGATTATTGAGTGGCTAATATATCTGCCATAATCATTACCTATACTAGTTTGCAGGCTCCTTACCCCAAAACCCTATTCTGATTATTAAGGCCTCAACATTAACCCCAAAACCCTTTCTACCTGTTCAGGGTCACCATGTTCAACCTTATAGAACCCTGTAAGGATCCCTTATAGAACCCCTTGAAGGAGCCCTTCAAAAGGGTACTACTTAGGAACCTAGATGACCATTGCCCGCAATCCGGACTACACCCGCCCCTTAACCTCCGACCGAGAGCCGTGGGCTTTGGGTTTGGGGTCTGGGGTTTAGGGTGTAGGATTTAGAGCTTAGGGTTTAGTGTGTTTAGCGTTTAAGATCGGATCTAGGGTTCAAGATTATCGGATTTAGGGTTCAAGATTTCGGGCTTGGGGTTTGGAGTTTGGGGTTTAGGGTTTGGGCCAAACGCTAGGTGCCGATCTCTAAATCCTCAAAGCTCGCGAAGAAGCTCACACCCTCTCCCCAGGCCCCCAACTCCTAAACCCGTCCAGTAACCCTGACAGGAAGCATGAAAGGAACCTTTGAAATAACCCTTACAGTAACCGTAACCCTCGAGAGAACCCTTGTCGTAAGCCTCGAAGAAACCCTCCTAAAAACCCTTAAAGCAACTCTGATGATAACCCTTCACGGAATCCTTGAAAGAGCCCTTATGGCAATCCTTCCAGCAACCCTCGAAGGAACCCTTGAAAGAACCCTTGAGAGAACCCCTTTACTGATGCCAACCTGCTAGATTCAAAACCCAAAACCCAAAAGCCTAAACCCCTACCCAGAGCTTACAGTAGAAGCCAGAAAGTTGGAATATCATTATCGTAACCCCTTTAAGGCAAATTATCCAACTTTCTGGAGTTCCCTTTATAATCTAAGGTATATTCCTTAATGGGTTTTGGCGGCTCTGGGTAAACCCAAGAGCATGAGTCCTCAAGCCGAAAACCAAACCCTTAAAGAAACCCTGAAAGCAACGCCTAAAGGGAGGCCGATACCTATGGTAGACGACTTCTAGTCCCTCCAGAAGCCCTGAAAGTAACCCTGACCCTTACAGGGACCCTTATACCTACCTTAACCCCGAATAACCCATCTTTTTTAAGGACTTGTATAAAGAGTTCATATTCGGGGCGGGGTTTTTTTTTTTTTCGGAGGTGCGGCCAACCCTCTTTTTTCGGAGGTGCGGCCAAGGATTTGTTCAGGTTGGACACGCAGGATCCCTGTAGAGGGTTCATCGGCGACGTAAAGAATTTGCGCCGCACGACAGCGCCAGCGCTGCGACACACAGAATCCCTGTAGAGGGTTCATCGGGGTCGCGCCGCACCACAGCGCGGGCGCTTCGAGGGGCAGGATCCCTGTGGACGGGGTGAGGCATCAAAAAACTCATCATCAAAAACAAATTAGATCCAGGGATCAACGAAAAACTAAAGAAAAAATAATGGGAAATGCAGCCATTTCCAAGACTATTTGCCTTGGTGGCGGTGGTGGTGTCGTTGATGTCGTTGCTGTCGTCGTTGGCGGTGGTGGGATCGTTGATGTCGTCGTGGTCGTCGTCTTGGTTGCTGTTGTTGTTGCTGCTCTTCGCGTTAAACCCCCTGGAGCGTGGCTGTCTGGCTTTCCCCTTCTTGTGTGTTGCCGAATACGTTTATGTTCATTTCTTCGCGGCTTTAGAGAGCGGGGAGTTTAGTCTAAAACAGCGAGGGTTTGGGGGGGGAACTCGCCCTATTTGCAAAGCTGTTAAACCCTTCAGGATTGATTGTGCTTTCTTCGCGGTAAACTCCCCTGGAGCGTGGTTGTCTGGCTTTCCCTTTCTTGTGTGGCTTTAGAGAGCGGGGGAGTTTAGTCTAAAAAAAGCGGGGGGGTTGGGGGGGGCGCAGCCCCCCATTTGCAAACCTTTTAAATCCTTCAGGATTGATTTTGTCTTCTTCACGTTAAACCCCCCTGAAGCAGTGTTGTCTGGTTTTATTCTTTTTTTTGTGTTGGCGAACACGGTTTTATTTATTTCGTGGCGGCTCAAACGACCGGTTGGCAAACACGTTATTGTTGATTACTTCGTGGCTCAAGAGAACTTCCAAGTCATTCATGATTGATTGTGTTGCTTCGCGCTTAACCCCGCTGAATCAACAACCCGAGAAAATCCGTGTTCTGAACCTGGGTTCTAACCCGAATTAGAACCTAGGTTCAAACCCAGGTTTGAACCTGGGTTCCGAACCTGAATTTCCAACCGTCTGCCTTCCTTCTATCTTTTCTTTCTTTCTGTTCTTCTTCCTTGCTTTGGTCCTTGTTCTGGGGTGTTTCGTTCTGTCTTCCTGGGTTCTTTTCGTTTCAGGTGGAAAAAACCAAGAAAAGCACACCAAATCTGTCCAAAACGTGAGGAAAATAGTGTTTCCCGAAGGAAAACCATGGAAAAACACCAAACAAAAATTTCAACAACAAGATCCAAAATAATAGGCCTTCCATATGTATATATATATATGTATATATTTATATACACACATATGTACTCTCTCTCTCTGTGTATATATATATATACTATATACTATAAATACATATATATATATATATATATATATATATATATATTATTTACACTATGTATACTACATATATATATATATACAATTTTATAATATAATATCTACTATATCTACTATATATACTATATATACTATATATACTAACTCTACTACATATACTATATAAATATGTATATATTATAAATATACTATATATACTATATATACTGTATAAACTATATATACTAAGGTTATATCTCCTGTACTTATTACATATACTATATATATATATATAATTGAAACTCTATGTATATCTGTATATATATATATACTATATATACTATGTACACTAAATATACTATATATACTATATACACTATATATACTATATATAGTATATATACTATACATATTATATATACTATATATACTATATATATATAAATAAACTCTATATATATATATACGAACAAACTATATAGACTCTATATACGGTATATTTTATATTATATTCTCTTATATTATATTCTTTTCTATTTTATTCTATTCTATTCTCTTATATTACATTATATTATATTCTTTTCAATTCTATTAAATTCCATTATATTATCCTATAATCTTTTATGTTATATTATATTCTATATATTCTATGATATTCTATTATATTCTATGATGTTCTGTTATATTGTATTATATTCTATTATGTTCTATTCTATGCTGTTATATTATATGATATTCTATTCTATTCTATTTTATGATATTCTATTTTATGATATTCTATTCTATTATATGATATTCTATTCTATATTATATTATATTATTATATTTATATTATGTATATTATATTATATTATATCTTTATATATTGTATTTCTTTATTATATTACATTCTGTTGTAATATATTACAGTATATTATACTACATTAGATTACATTAGATTACATTAGATTACATTAGATTACAATATATTACATTATATTACATTATATTACGTTATATTACATTATATTACATTATAATATATTATGTTATATTACATTACATTACAATATATTATATTATATTACATTATAATATATTATACTACATTATATTAGATTACATTATGTTATATTATACTATATTATATTATGTTACATTATATTTTATTACATTATATTATATTATATCATATTATATTCCATTATATTATATTATATTATATTATCTTTACTGTACAAACTATATATATATAGTATACATACTATATATACAACATGTACTATGTATACTATGTATGTATATATATATATATATATATATATATTACTGAAATACTACCGTCCTTCCTTCCTTCCTCCTTCCTTTTTTCCTTGCTTTCTTCCTTCCCTGTGTAAATAACAGGACGTGGGAGCAAAAGAAAGAGGGCCAAAAAAAAGGGCACAAACAAAAATGGGTTCCTGTTCTTGTTTCTCTTTCATTCCTTGCTAGCTCCTGTGCTTTCTTGCTTTCTTTTGTGCTTCCTTCCTGGCTTTCTTTCCTTCATCATCTTTCTTCTGCTTTTCTTTCTTCTGGGGTTGTGCTTTATTTGTGTTATTCCTTGTTTGCTTTCTTGTTGCTTTTGCGGGACCGAGGGACCGGCGGACCGCAGGACCAGGAAACCACGGGACCAGGAGAGCACGGGACCAGAGGACCACCAGACCAGAGGGCTAGAGGACTACAGGACCAAGGACCAGAGGACTGGGGACCGCAGGCACGGACACCACAGGACCAGAGGACCAGCAGACCGGAGGACCAGGGAACCACAGGACCAAGGACCAGAGGACCAGGGGACCGCATGCACCAGGGACCCTTGGCCGCACCTCGCAAGCAAGGGTTGGCCGCACCTTCGAAAAAAAAAACCCATGGCCCCATATTCGGGAACCCTAAAAAGGTAGGTTCCTTAGGCTGCAGGTATGGTAACCCTCTACTCTCACCCCGCGCCCTCTTTCACGACCCTCAATACCCAAAGCCCACAACCCCAAACCAAACCTCAAACCCTGAACCAAAGAACTGAAAACTCCCATACACTCTACTTGGAGGTTCATGGGTAGTTCTAAGTAGGCTTATAAGTCGGGTAACTATACTTATGACCCATATTAAGGGACTTATTATAACCCCAATTATAACTACCCATGAACCTCCAAGTACCCCCACCCTCCGCGCCTTCTTTCACGTGCGCCAGCAACGGCTCCATCAGCCGCTTGGCGGCACGGAGCATCCCACCGTGGGCGAGGCCTTCCCAGGGAATCTGGGATCTAAAGGGTTCCTTGAGAAGGGCTCTATCTATAGATAGGGGTTTAGAATCCCGAAATGTTCGATTTCATGTGGGGCCCTTGATGATGTTAGAACTGGGTTACTTTTAAAGGGCTCTTGACAGAGAGGCCTATAAAGGTGATAAGACGGGGTACAATAGAAGCTTAGTATAGCAGGATCGTAATAAAAGATCCCTTTCTGGGGGATCATGATTCTTAGACTGTAAGGTTAGTTATAAGTACGTTATTTCTGGACAAGAGTAACCGCAGGCATAGTTACTATATCTGCAATAACGTTCGCTAATAATCTCCATGATTGGTTACTTGGGGTCCAGGGTTCAAGGTGATGGTCGTTGAGGACTTTCGATTTTGAGGAGTAACGGTTGATGATATAAATCCTGCATTACCCTAAGGACCCTAAACTATGGGAATCATGGTATATTCCTTATAGTGGATAATGCAGGGTTTTTACCATCAACCGAAGTATTCTGTCAACTATAGCCGAGATACTAAGTTGAATACGCAGGACATTTGAACTAAGGTCTGCGTCTGCGTCTCTTAAGCTACCTGAAGGTTCCGGGTTAGTTGTTAAGTTCCATCTTTCGAGGTTCGGCTAGTGAGTTTAGGATTCGGGGATGTCGTACAGAGGCTTCACTAGCTTCAATAGGGCTATCAGGTTCAGTAGGGTGTGCACCTACTATAAATTAAAAAGTGTCGGCGTCTACAATAACATTGATCTGACCCCTGTACGTACTATATAGATGGCTTTTTATATCCAGCGCTTCTACGTACTGGTGTACAGATTGCTTCTTCTTCATGCTTGGTATAGGGCTTGCCAATACCCTAAACCCTGAATCGTAGATCTAAGGCGTTCCGCAGGACTAAACCCTAAACCCTAGAATTCTACAAGGGTTCAGATGGTTCAGCTCTCGATACTCCAAGCTCCATAAGCTCTGAAAACCCTAAACTCTAAACCTCTAAGAACCCTTCAAACAAACCGAAGCACTAAAAGCCCTACACCCTAAGACCCCCGTCAGCACCGTTCCGAAAAGTGGGGCTTCAGAGGTGCGGCATCTAGCATTTAAGGTCGCAGTTACGAGGCCCCAAAGAGTATACTATAGACTCTATATGGGTGGTTGTCAAAATTATGGCCCCTTTTTGGGTCCTTATTATAGTACGGCACCTAATATTCAGGCTACCCAAAAACGGACCACCATAATTGTGACAACCACCCATATGAATATGGAGCTGTATAAGACCACAAGCTCCAAACTACTGTACGCCCCTCGGGGGGTATTGGGCTCTCTGGGTAAAGTCTTAACAATCAAATTTAAGGTTTCCCGAAGCGGGTTCTTGAGCAGGGATCGGAAAGGGTTCCATCATAGGGAGTCTAGTGTATATACACGGGCCTTAACATCAACTATGCGGCCAACTATTGTTCTCGCAGCAATCCCGGACACCTTGCACACGTTGAGCGAGCCAGCGTTGAAGCTGTTCGAGTTCCACTCGAAGGCCTGGTGTATGCAGCCTCTTCCGACTCGAACCCAGTATCCTTGGAGGTGGCGGCCCCTCGTTCTGCGCTGACCCCATGTGATGATGGAGGGCATGCTCGGAGGGTCGGGGGACTTAGTAAGTAGGTAATAAGTCGACTTATAAGTACCCTAAAAGGGACCCTAATTGGGGTTATGGTACTTATAAGTCCCTAAAATAATCAGTTACTAAGTCCCCCGACCCTCCAAGTGATGTCCGACCTGACTTCTCAGCGAGAGTGTGGTAGTAGGATAAGGAGCCGCAAGAAATCGCACAACTAGCTATTCAGCCCCCTAGCCGCACAGAATGCCCGAGGAAACCCTGCAAAAATCCCTACCCAGAAGAACGATCTACAAAAACCCTGTGAAGCCCTGATAAAACATGATGAAACCCTATGAAACCCAAAAAAACTTTACAACCCTAGTAGAACAAACACTTCGGGCAACCCTCTAGAGGATATGTCGATTTCAAAAGTCCCCAAAATGATTGGTAATTAGGGCTCGATACCGGATGATGTAAGTCCTGCGACACCCATAATCAGGAATACACCGGAAACTCCCATGTCATCAACCGTATTTTATGGTGGAATGGCCTTCCATGCCTGCAAGCTCACATGGAACTGCCTGCGGCTCTGACCGACTTGTGGGTCAAAGGGGTTTAGGTTTTAGGGTTTAGGGTTTAAGGCTTTAGGACTACAGGGTGTTAGGATTTAGGGATTCAGGGTTTAGGGCTAGGGTTTCAGGGTTTTAGACTTGGGGTCGAGCCGTCGCAAATTTTGGGCGAAGAACATGGAGATGTAGGGTGCTTTCTAGGGTTTATCAAAGCTGTATACGGCTTTTTGCGACGGGGTTTGTAGGGGCGTGTATAAAGGCTTTCATAGGGTTCTACGCGGTTTTGTAGGGACTCAGAAAGAGTTTACTCCAGAGGTCCCTTGTGGCCTTAACACTCCTCTGGAATCATAGGGACCCTTAGGGGGGGTAGGGGGGAGGGCTTCCTTGAACAGGCCTTATTGTGGGCATTACGGCCCCCTACCCCCCAGCTCCCCCTCCCCCTACCCCCGTAAGGGTCCCAATGATGGAAGTACACTAGAACACCCCCTTGGGGGGGAAATCGAATGATCCAAACCGCTGTACCAAGAGTTGTTGAGTTGAGGCTGAATAGGGTTTGCGGCTTAGGGCTTAGGGTTCAGAGTTTAGGGTTTAAGGTTCAAGGTTTAGGGTTTAGTGCTTACGGGTTTAGGGCTTAGGGTTTATGGTAAGGGTGTAGGGTTTCTCATCCATTGCCTAGCCAGGCCGAGGACAAACACACAACTCATCGCCGGCGTTCTAATTCTGGAAAATGAATACAGAATATACCTTAGGCCAAAGGGTTCCCTAAAGGGTTCCGTAAAGGGATATATAAGGGTCCTATAAGGGAACGAAGGAAGGTACCTTAATTCGGAGCCTCTGAGTGCTGCCGACTTCTTTCCAAAGTCCTACCGACCCTTCTCCAAGAAGAGCCTTGAACCATGCCAAAAAACCAGGGAGCCCATTACCCCTTGATTAAGGATACACCCTAAACCATAATGTGGAGGCCCCCGATAATTGAAGGCTTTTGAGGGGTATTGGGCCAATCAAGGAGATACCCTAATCCATAATGTGAAGGCCCCGATAATTGAGGATGGGCTCTGAGAAACCTTTTCTGAAATCGCACGGGCATGCACCGCCCCCTGCAGACATACATCACTCCGGAACCCTAAACCGTAAATCCTAAATTCTAAACCCTAAACCCCTGACTTCTTACATCACCGCTGCACCCTGAACGGTGCAGCCCGGGGCCAAAGCAAAGATGCCGGCAGTCTTCCAGAGGATCCCCCTCAAAACATAGGATTTAAGGTCTGAATGGAGATCGAAAAAACCACTGTTTTGGAGGTTACGACCCATCAGAAACGGGTTATTACCAACTATTTTGTAGGGTTTGGGGTTACCGGTTCCAGGTATCGTGATTGTATCAAGTACCTACGTACTGCTAAGGAGCTGCCTTAAAGCCTAAACCCTAAACATGCCACTTTCGGTCCTCGCACACCAGGTCCACCAGTGCGTCTCGCGCCGTGGATGTGCCGCGGAGGGCGACCACTACGCAGCCGGCCTGCCGAGTTCTCTTTAAAAAGGGTCCTGTAAGGGTTACTGTCGTAGGGCTCCCTTTACAGGGATCCTTAAAAGGGTTCCTTGAAGGGATCTATAGTAGGTTTCGAAAATGTAGGGGCCTCAATAATCAGAATAGGGTTTTGGGCGGCTTCACAGTCTAATTAAGATTTGAAACCCTGAGAAAATATTATCAATAATTGTTCAGGCTTCTACATAAGCAGTTTCGGGCTGAGGGCTAGCCGACACTTGTGATGTCCAATGAACTCCATACTTGGAGGGTCGCGGGACTAACTAGTTATTGTATGGACCTTAAATCCTAAACCCTAAACCCCAAATCCTAAACCCTAAACCCTTAAGAACCCTTTGAAGGAACCCCTTGTACTCCCCTTTAAGGGAACCGTAAAGATGATATGGCAACAGTGCTAAATGCCCTATTGTCGGCACGCAGCGAGGTGCCGGAATTCCATCGCTTGGGGTTGAGGGTTTGGGTCTTAGGGTCTAGTTTAGGGTTTAGGGTGTAGAGTCTAAGGTTTAGAGTTTAGCGTTTAGGGTGTAGAGTCTAAGGTTTAGAGTTTAGGGGTTTAGGGTTTAGAGTCTAGGGCTAGGGTTTAGAGTTCAGGGTTTAGTACAGGGTTTAAGGTTTAGGGGCGGCATCGTGAAGCGAATCTTGAACAGATTGCCCGGCATGTTCACCTCAATGCCCTGCTTGCCCATGACAGCACCCTCCACAATGCCAAGGTCATCATCTTGGAAAAGCTCCACAACGCACTGGAGAAACTTATCTCGAAGCCCTGTCCATCAAGGATGTGCATCTCCAGAGGGGTAGAACTACCAAAACCTACTGTTGTAGGGTCCCTAAAAATTTCTGTGTTAAGGTTTATAGTAGGAACCTATGCATACGTAGGGTGTGGTAGCCGAAGGTAGCGTTTAGAGTTTAGTTTAGGATCTTGAGTCAAGGGTTCCAAAAAGGTGTCGGGTTCAGGGTTCTAGGGTTCCTACAGAGTTTAAGGTTGAGGGTTTGGGCTCGCTTAAGCTTTTGCAATGCTTTCGATGGGTCTCCCTAAATGTTAAGCCCGACTGCGTGAAACCGCAAACCCATAGGCCCCAAAACCCCTTAAGTACGGAATAGACATGAAATTATGTGTAAAAGGAGCCTTGATAAGATTTAAAATTTAAGGTATATTCCTTAAATAAGGGTTTTTGGAGCCTCTGGGAATACTAAGCACTTGGAGCTTGGGAAGGTATGGAAGGACTAAGGCTTACTGCAGTCTCCGCACTAGGGGCGTGTTGAGGGGCTTCGGGCGTTTAGGGTTTATCAAGGGCTGGGGACTTCAAGGCTGTGGGCTATGCGGTGCAAGCCCGGGCTTTGCTGTCTTGATGTTTCTTAACATGGAAGCTGAAGACCAAAGCGGGTCCCAAAATTGATCGCCCGTAAATTCTGGGATCCTTATTATAAGAGACCCAGGACAACAATAGGGCACCCATGAATTTTATGAAACACCATGCGCACACACGGATTACGTGGAGTCTGCTAGATTCAGCTTTCGGGCCTAGTATCGCGAATTCGAGACTGTAGGGCTGCGGATGTTTCGTCCACGGCTTCCAATCTCAAAACCCTAAACCTCTAATCCCTAAGAAGGCAGCTTAAGTCGACGAGAAACAGGGAAACAGGGAGGTTCTGGTGTTCTGGGTTCAACGATTGTGCAAGGATCCCAACCCTAGAGCCTAAACCCTAAGCCAGGTGAGTACATAGTACAGGGAACATTCAGAATGCCACAAATCGACGCGAAGGTCTTTTCTACTATATACTTACTAAGATGAAGGGTTCCGCCCGTAAACCAGGCAGCCCACACAAGGCTTTCCGATGCCGGCCTCGTGATCAACGGCCACCATGTAGCCGGGCACAAAATGCTCCGACGTGTTCTCTTCCTCGGTTTAGGGTTCAGGTTTTTGGGTCTAGGGTTCAGGGTTAAGGTCTAGGGTTCAGGTAGTAAGGTTTGTGGATTAGAGTACTTTGCTGCTCGTAATGCACTTACTAGCTACCGTCCCGAAAACTGGCATAGAACCTGAGCTGAAACCCAACCCCCGATTTCAGTAAACATAACCAAAATACACACCAGCATTGTCAACACGCCACGCTGCAATCTGAAAACCATGTGGGCAGTTCTCTAGAGTAGGGTTGACGATATAAATCCTACTGGACCCATAACAAGGAATATCCCATCATTTCCATAGTTTATTGTCCTTAAGGTGGTGCAGGACTTCAACAGCTGGTCCCTTTTGGGGTCCCCGCAATATTACGGGACACAGCCTGGCCTGCAGAACTACTGGACCATCACTTGGGGGTTCATGGGTAGTTATGGGGGGTTTCCAAAACTGGGGACCCGAATGTAGTACCCTAAATAGTAGGATAATGATTATCAGGACCCCAACATACGAGACTGATGCGATGCATGTGAGGGATGATGGGGCATGCCAAATTCAAAAACAAAGACTGATGCGACAGATGCGAGGGATGATGGGGTGCTCCGGGTACCCAAAACAAGGGCTGGCTGGTGAGGCGCATGCAAGAGCTGGCGGGGCGCCGGATTCTGAGAAAAAGCCTTTTCCTATTCAATGGCTAGACTGATGGAGCGCATTCCAGGGCTTATCTGCGTGTGATGGGGCTGGGCTTTCTGGGTTTATAGCATTCCGGGTTTGTCGGCTTGTCAAGTTGTCAGGGTGTTCCGGTGTAATGAGGCGATCTCGGTTTATGGAATTAGCGGATTTCCGGCTCTGGGTTGAAAATGCGGCTGTTAGTGCCAACCGCAAGGCGTAGAAAGTTTTCTCAACCAATGACAGCCCAGAACCTGACATGCAACACAACCTCGACTGATCGAAGGACTGCGGCTTCGCTTGGAACTGGCCAACAATCACAACTGGCAAACGAACCAACAATCACAACTGGCAAACGAACCGTGATGCTGCATGTAAGCCGGAGTCCGACTTGGCGCAACATCAACAAGCACCAGTCAGTCTCGCAGCCAGACAAGCAGTTGAACTGATGCGGCCAATGTCAGCACCATCAGCAGGCACGCCATTGATGGTCGAGACCAGATGGGCGGTCGCCGCAACCGAGCATGATGATATTGCGTAAGGTCGCGTGCAACGGATGCAAGTGCAGTGAAATAGATTGCAAACCTGCATGTGGGGTTTCGTTTTGGAGCGCTGCAACTCGAGGCGTTGGACTTTGCACTGAGCAGGAGTCGACACGTGCCATCGACACGTCAGCTCAAGGCACGTAAGGCTCCTGTGGCTCCGGCAAGTAATTAAGGCATGTAGCTGCTTTGCGCGGAGCGAAGTGTAGCACTCCGCTCGTCCCATGATTTGCACGTGGGGCGTTCGGTCGTTCTGACTGGAGTCGAAGTCTGTGGAACTATCTGGCCTATCTTAACAAAAGTGTTGGGGCCAGGTGGGAGGGAATGGAACATAACGGGGGAGTCCGTCTCGTCAAGGTGGCTCTCCTGTATCATCCTAAACCTTACATCCTAAATCCTGAATCCCTAAACCCTCAACGGCCCTAAACCCTTACTCAAATGTCTGGGCCTATGTCCCCGAGCCACCGCCCGATGTCCATGCGTCACCTGGTGACACTAAGTCTGACGGCGGCAACTACAACTTCTCCAGGGATGCCGTCCGTGCCCCCCACACCTGAAAACACAAGCCCGTCCGATGTAATTGCACAACAGAAAGTTGGCACACACCAAGAGCTCCGAGGAAAGTTTGCTTGTCCCGTTTTATCAGTCTTACAAAGCGATTCGCCACCACAAGTGTTCAAGCACTATTCCTAGTTGTCAATGCTATCATGATGACTACTGTTGCCCTCAACTCTGCGCCCTAGATCCCGTACAACACTGGACCATAAATCCTAAAACCTAAACACCCTAAAAGCCTAAATACCAAAGCCCTAAACCCTGAAAACCTTAAAGCCCTGGAACCCTGAGTCACCTCCCCAAGGATCACGTTCGGAAAGGGTCGGGGCTCCAAGCTGCAGGGCTCTTGAAAGCTGAAGGTTTACTCTTGGGGCTTAAATAACCATCTGCATTCTTGGGGTGGTTCCTTATTAGAGTTTGAGTATCATAGTATAATGGGCCCCACAGCCCTACTCCAACGATTAAGGCTCCTATATTAAGGCTTTGGGTGCAGGGTTCGAGGGTTTGTAGCTTTGACTTTAGGGGCTCCGGGGTTCACCCTAAAGCCTGAACCCTAAACTCCTTAAGGGTTTGAGGGTCTAGGGTTTAAGGGTCAGGGATTAGGGGCTTAGGTTTCAGGGGTTGAGGGGTTTAGGGATTTAGGGGTTTAGGGTTTAGGGGTTTAGGGTTAAGGGTTTAGGGGTTTGAGGGTGCAGGGTTTGAAGGAGTTTAGGGCTTAGGGTTCGAGAAGTTTTGGGTATGGTACGGAGTTTGGAGCCAAGGGTTTAGAGCTCTGGGGTTTGGGGGCTTCAGGATTTCCAGCAAAGCCAGGCGTCGAAAGACAGAACCGTCACTCGCCCCTGTAGGTTGGCACTCGCCTTGGGCCGCAGGGTTTAGGGGTTTAGGGTTTAGGGTTTAAGGTTTAGGGTTTAGGGTAGAGTAATACTCCTTCTTCCGATCCCTACCTCACCCTACCAAAACCTACGTTGCTGCAGGGCCCGTATACATTCCATATTAAGGTTCATAGTAAGAAACTACCGAAACTCGGCCTTGAAGTAACCAGGGAGAAAATAGTATAGACGTTCATTCCATAATGGCTCCCTTAAACTTTTTGGGAAACCCCCATATCTTTCAAGGCCCAGCCTCTACCAAAGCCCTGAAGCCGAACGCCGAGGGCCCGAAACAGCGAACCCCAGAGCCAAACCCTGGACTCTAAAAGGGTTTATAAGGATTAGGGTTTAGGTTTGAGGGGATAGGGAGTTGGGTTTAGAGCTTAGGGTTTAGGGTTGTATCTGAAGTCAGGCAGACTGCTTGAGCCCTACTACCATGAAATATAGGGGTGGGAATAGTCAGCAAGAGTATCCCCTTACAGTCCCTACTTGGGCATATACTACTGCAGCATAAGCCCAACAACCCTAAGTATCAAGGCTCCAAAGCCTAGTAAAGTATTGTAAAACTCTATAGCGGTAATGTTTTGATTGAATTTTTCTTGGACTGAGAAACCCTGTTCTGAACTTGTAGCCCCTGACTAGAAAAATTCACCGAACTAGGAGGATGCCTCCGGAAGCTCTCACAATGCGAGAAGCGGATTAAGAAACCTTGGGCTTTTATTAGGATTCGCTTAAAGGGGTCTACAAGGGTTACTATAAGGGATCTACAAGGGTACTATAATAATGTAGGAACCTGAGTAAGAAACCTTGTGCCTTTGTTGGGGTTCTTAATATGGATCCTACTGTTTGGGGGGGTTATAAGGCCAGGGTTTCTTAATCAGCTTCCTACATTATCATCTGGGCTTCAGAAAATGTGGGTGTCTCTATTGACGTTACTTACACGCACTTATAACAAGGGCCCTGATTTCGTAAGATTATATGTTAAGGTTCCCTATTTGATGAAACTCCCAGCGCTCATAGTTTCAACTGCCCGCTGCCCCTGAAAACCTGACCCCTGGACCACAAACTTCAGGCCAAACCCTGAACCGTAAACCCTACTTGGAGGGTCGGGGGACTTAGTAACTGGTTATTTTCGGGACTTATAAGTACAATAACCCCAATTAGGGTCCCTTTTTACTTATGAGTCTACTTACTACCTACTTACTAAGTCCCCCGACCCTCCAAGTAAGCTCCACTTACTCCCCAAGCTGTTAAATTCCAAACCCCACCCCCTGAAGACCCCAAACCCAGCCCCTAAGCCGGTAGATGAAGAAAATCCTTGAAGGAACCCTTAAAGGGCTCCTTTTAAGGGGTTCCTTTGGGGGTCCCAAGTTTGGGTTTAGGGTTGAGGGCCTTAGAGGGCCCGGAAATACCCAGCAACTCCAATACCCCGTAATTAAGGAATATACTGTAAATTATTCTGCGGTCCCTAATATGATTCTTAAGGAATATTCCTTAATTAAGGGACATTGGAGTCTCTGGGTACTCGGACACGACAACAGAGCAGGAAACCCTTACAAGGCACCCGAAACCTTAATCTCATACTACCCTATACAACCCTTGGGAAAACCTACGTGTATAAGAAAACTCTAGAAAACCCGTCAAGAAACTCTCAACCCCATCAAGCTCTCATAGAGCCCTCATAGAACCCTCCAAAAAAATCCTACTTGGAGGTTCATGGGTAGTTATAAGTGGGGTTATAAGTAGGGTAACTGACTTGTAACCCACACTAACGGTCTTCTAACCCCACTTTTAACTGCCAAATAGGCCCTAAACCCTATGCCGTCCTAGAACCCCTAAAGATCCCTTTAAAGAAGGGACCCTTATGGCTACCCATGAACCTCCAAGTAGAAGAGCCTGAAGAGCCGGGTCGCCAGAGCCCTCTCCGCCTGTGTCGCGTCGGGCGCTGTGTCCCGGGCGCGCATCGCAGGCGCCAGCGAGAAGCCGTCCTTGGGGGTTCATGGGCAGTTCTATATTATAAGGGTCCCTTTAAGGGGATCTATAGGGATTCTACGAGGGTACGGGGTTTAGGGCCTACTTGGAGGTTCATTGGTAGCCTTGTGCTTTGGGGGATTTTAGTTTAAGGCTACAAAAGTAAAGGGGGTTTTGGGTTTAGGGTCCTTGTGCTTTGGGACATTGGGGGTTTAGGGCTTGCTTTGCTTGTTTCTTTGGGGGGTATGGCTTAGGGTCTTATGAGTCCCCCAAGATGGGTTATAAATATAGTTACCCTTATTATAACCAACTTCTAACTACCCATGAACCTCCAAGTGTGCTTTGGGGCAGTGTGGGTTGAGGATTTGTTTTTTGGAAGGGGGGTTTAGGGTCTAGGGTTCTGCGTTCCTGGTTTGGGTCTCAACATAGGGCTATTTTGCTGAGGGGCTTAGGATCAATATGGGTAGTCTAAGTAAATAGAAAGGGCTTCCACATTCATATTGCACTCTCACTACATAGAAACTAAACTCAACGGTGGAACTATTACCAGTTAAACAGAACTCTACATTACCCAAGGCTCAGAAACTGTCGTGTCTTTGGGTTCTTCTAGAGTATGGAACGGAAGAAATAACCTTCGCGATGAGGCAGCTTGTAGTTTTATCTCCAAGGGTAAAAGGAGGGACCCTTAATAAGGACCCCTAGGTATATACCCTTAATATAGCTGTTATATACTCCTTATATAGCCCATTATAGGGTAGGGGACCCCATTAAGGGTCCCTCCTTTGTCCCTTTGATTCATCGGAATTGCTGCTGACACACTCGGAGGCGACAAAACCCTGGAGGCCACCTAAACCCTGAACCTTAATCCCAAAACATCCCAAAACCCTAAACCTTAAACCCTGAGCCCTAAACCCTGCGCTCCTTCTGCAGGCCCCGGCTGAAGCATTCAGGGTTTTGGGTGGATTCCTGAAACATTGAGGTTTAGACACTAACGCTAAGGGTCCACGTGCTCAAATAGTATATCATTCTGTAATTCGGTACTTTGGAGCCAGAGTATCTACTATTTGGGAGTTTCCGAAAATAGGGGACCCTAATATTGCACCCTAAATAGTAGGATCTGCCAGCTCGTTGCGAAGGGTCCGGATCGCTTCAGCTGCATTGTTGCGAGCCTGCTGAATCCCCTGTTCCATTGCTCCGCTTGGTTTTGCGGCAAAGCTTTGCATGCACTGCTTCCACCACTGCGCGGCCTGTACCACAAATGTTTTGGACGAAGCAGCGTCCACCAACTCCTGGTAAAGTCACGGCTGAAGAATGGCTTGCGGCT